GCTACTGTACTTGGGTCCATTTTCAAATCCACCTCGCATCCTCAACCCTTTACGGCCTTTTTATACGATGTCTTTCTGACAGCAATTGACCTTATGAATTGTCTCACTCGATAATTACAAAACACGAACCCTGCCTTACGAAAAAGAAGTCTAAGCTATATACTACAAAAATTTCTGTGTTTAATGTACCTGCACTGTTTAATGTACCTGCACGGGGTAGCAAGAGAAAAAAACTCAGAGAAACAAACACACACACACACACAATTTAGTAAATACCTGGTGACTCGCCCCCAAAGAAGCCATACAATGTAATATGTGCCACAAAGGTTTTAACTGCTCCCTTATTAATTAAATAGAAAAGCTCAAAACATACAAAACCACTTATATGCGCAATCGATCGGGAGCGCTCAAAAACCATGTCCATCCACCATGCCAGTGTGAACTGAACTGCGTGTAAACTGCGAACGCATAAACGACTGTGCGCGCCTCTACGCAGTTCTTTATCAGAGGCTCAATGCGCTCCGTAGGCGCCACTTGCCGCTCATCACACTTTCCTATTCTAGCCACTGTAATTGTGAATATTCGTTGCCATGGTGGAGTACTCGAAGTGGCCCATTATAGGGTGCCTGAAAAGGTTCGACGTGCACCACACGTGGCCCTGGGGGCAATCGAAGTGCCGTGTGTAGTTTATGACATTGCGTAGGTGAAGTGCATAGTCGCTGCAAGCTATGGAGGCCTCCTCTGAGCCGCGCTCAAGTGCTCTGCCGGCATCCTGAGTGTCGTGTCGTAGACCAGCTCAGCGAGGCTATAGCCCATGTCCTCTTTCAAGGTGGACTTTATATCCAAAGTATTGAGCGGGAAAGCATCCACCCTGCTGTGTTTTTTTTTTTTGTCGTGAGCGCAGCGCCTTCAGCTAGTGATAAACGCGCTCCACAATGCCGTTGCTCATAGAGTGGTATGCCATCGAGTGTATGCGTGAAGTTCTCATGAGCTGACTGATGGCGGTGAAAAGGGCTGATTTGAATTGTCGGCCACGGTCTGTTGTTATCGTGGAGGGAACCCCGAACCATGCTACCCAGTGTTACAGGAAAGCACTCGCAACCGCCTCGGCAGTGATGTCCGCAATTGAGATGGCCTCCGCCCAGCGTGAGCCTGTCGACAGAGGTCAGCTTGTCAGCCTTTCCGAGTCAGGGTGGCAGTGGGCCGACGATGTCCACGTGAACATGATCAAAGCGGAATCCGGAGAGGAGTATTCCCAAAGCTGTTGAAGTATGACGTATCTCAGAGTGCTGGCAAGCTGCACATTCACGTGCCGAGCGTCAGACGTTCTGATTTACGGCAAATTTTTCCGTCACCAGTCTTAAGGGTGACTCTCATCCCCGGATGAGAAAGTCTGTGCAAGGACTCTAATATATGGCGACGGAGGCTCGCGGGCGCGAACGGGCGAGTTCTACTGACGCTTCTGTCACAGCAAACCCTATCTTCGAATCCGGGAACTGAAATCCACTCAACATTCAGGGCAGTGGTCATGGTCAACAGGTGCTTCAGTTCACCTTCACGTTGAGCGGCTGCCAAAGCGGGAAAATCAATCTGTAATGTGGGCATCGCTCTGTTTCCGGGGTTTCGTGAGAGGCCGTCCTCTACCTCATTGTCGCCGCCTTTGACGTGGCGCATATCAGTCCTAAAAGGACATTTGGGGCCATCCACCTGCTCTGTGCGTTCCACCGTCAAAGCTTGGCGAGCGCAATGCATCAGTGAGCGGCTTGTGGTTGTTGAGGACGAAAAACTCTACACCTTCCAAGAAATGGCGAAAAGGTCGTATGGCAGTTACACGGCCAGCAGTTAATTTTCTCCCGAAGGTGCTGTAGCGACACTCGGTAGGCATTAACTTCCTCGAAAGAAGGAAATTGGAACTTAATTTTCTTAACGAGCTGCTGTAATACAGCCCCGACGGCTGTATCGGTAGCATCCATCATTATGCTCTGTGGGACACCGGACCTGAGGTATTCAAGCAGTGCGGCATTTGACAAGGCGTCCTCGACCTCGCAGAATGCTTCTTTTGCTTCTTGAGACCAGGAGAGGGTGTCTGAGCCATTTCGTGAAATGGTCAGCAAGTCGTGGAAAGCTTGAAAGATCTGGGCACAGCGGGGAATGAAACGGCGGTAGACGTTTACCAAACCATGAAATTCCCGAAGCTGGCTCTTGGCTGTGGAAATCCTTGCATGTCTTCACCCTTGTTGGGTTGAGGAAAAACTCCTCGGGCAGAGATGACGTGTCGAAGAAATGAGAGATGTCACACAACAATGTTGCATTTGGCCATGTTCACTATGCCACCATGCTCTGCTAAACGCCGGAAAACGATGCCAAGATTAGATTGGATTGGATAAACTTTTATTTATTGGATAAACTTTTATTACGATGCCAAGATGAATAGCGTGTTTTTCCGGAGTGCTGCTGGAGACTAGGAAGTCGTCGAGATAGGCGTGGCAGAAGCTGAGGCCGCATATAGCACTGTAGATGAACCGCTGAAATGTCTGACCCGCATTTTGAGGTCCGAATGGCATTCAGAGAAATGCGAAAAGTCTGAAAGGTGTTGCGATGGGAAATCTAATGACATACCCGCACCAGGTCGATTTTCGAGAAGACAGTGGCACCATGGAGCCTCTTCGTGACGTCATTTATGTGCATTACCAGGTATCTGTCTGGAGTCGTTACCTGGTTCAGCGCCCCGTAGTCCCCGCTTGGTCTCCAGTCTCCAGGCGTTGACTTTGGCAACATGTGAAGTGGAGATGCCCAGGTGTTCGGCGAAGGTCTGATGATTCCTAGCTCCATCATGTGTTCAAATTCCTGCCGTGCGATCTTCAGCTTCTCTGGTGGCAAAGGGCGAGGCCTCGCATGCACGGGTGGGCTGCTGGTGGCGATGTAGTGGCGTACCTTGTGCTTCGCCTCAGCGATGGCTAGTGGCTGCCGCGTTAACTCGGGAAAATCCTGCAGAACGCGAGCTAAACGTTCGGCATCGGACTGCCCGAGCAGAGTAGTGCTCAGGGGAGGGTGTTTTGAGGGATTGCCTTGCAAAGTTGCCTGCGACACGGGATCGTGAAGGCGGCGGTTGCGCACGTCGATGAGAAGGCTGAAATGCCGAAGTCCGCAATACCGAGGAGGCGAACTTCACTACTGTCACGATGAAAATACAGCGGAACGTCCTGTACAAGCTTCCATTGAGTGGCAGCAAGTGATGTCCGTAGGTGGCGATGGTTGTGTTGTTGACCACCTTGAGGGGGACGCTCTGGGGACACGGCGATTGGTGGACCCAACCGGCAACACGCTCACCATCGCGCTGGTGTCCACGAGGAATCAAAGGCCACTGTCATGGTTGGTGAGGAAAACCACTGATGGTCAACGTTCGGGGGCGTTTGGGACACTGATCGTCCTCAGTGCCGGCCATTCACGTTTCCCGCATAGTCGCAAAAGGAATGCATTTTCGAGCAGCATTGCCATGCTTGGGGTTATACCTGCACATTATCTGCTCCGCTGATGGGCGCTGGCGCTCCTCGAAAATGATGCGGGCCTGCATAGCTGCGACGGTGTCGGCGAGGCGGGATATCTGCACCCGAATGTCATGCACAGCGGTCGTAGGCGCGCGGCCAGCGATGTCTGCACGCGACGGACGGCGGAGCGACCGCCAGTATATACATGTAGAGTCCGCGAGCTCGGCGAGTTGAGACAGGCGTTTGTCGGCAGCCGATGCGAGGACCATGCGCAAGTTACCAGAAGCCGCTGTTGGAGTGATTTGAGCCCTTACGAAACGGAAACCATAAATGTTTCGCTGAAACCAAAAAGACCATGTTTCAGCTACCTTTGCAGGCACAGTTCTTGATGGCTTTCGCACTTTGCGGCTGAATTCTGATGATTTGATTGATCGATTCATGAGAGACGCCGGGGCATTGGAGTACTCTGGAAACTTTGACCACCAGGGATTCTTTAACGTGCACCCGAATCTGAGCACACTACAGCATTCTCGCCTCTATTTCTCGCCTCTAATTCTGGTGCTGCAATATTCTCGCCTCTAATTCTGATGCTGAGGCGCAGTACGGCGCTGATACGTGGGTTTGGAGCAGCAAAGGTGGTTCGGTGCAGGACGGTGCATAAGCAAGTTAGGCGCCTAATGGCGCAAATGGCTCAGCTGTTCCACCCCTGTACCTGTCGATACATCAGTACTTAAACCTAGTTGACGCTCAGAAAAATAATCTTCTGAATCTTGGCCTACACTTGAACGTGACGCGATGCAAATTTGTCTTACAACGGAGCAACAATAGTGCGACATCCAATGGTGTACCCAGGCATGCTCATCCTGAACAACTTCCAAACGATGTTGTGCAGGAACTGCTAGTCACGATCCCTCAATAGGATCTCAAGCGAGCGCGTGGTTCAGGCGTACGTGCAGCCACCTCCAAAAGGTCCAAGCACTAGCACTCAACAGGAGATCCTTAGAAACTCCTTTTCGGAAAAGGCCGCTTATTCAAGAGACTTTTAAGTGCCCGTGTGACAGGGGTATTAGTCGAGACAATTGTCCAGTCGTCATCCTCTTTCACATTGGAAATGTGATATTGTGCGTATAAAAACAAATATTAACAACACGCTTTTGCAGGTGCATAAAATATGGATAATAATGGCAGCAGTAAAATTTGTTTCAAAACTGTAGGTATTCAGCTTCTCTGTGTGATAGAGATTCTCGTTCAAAGAATAACAGAGAATGTTGATATGTTGGTCGTGGCTGATAAATTGCATCAATGCATTTGAGGGATATGTATGTACACTACATGAGATTTGTTTGATCGACAGAAATTTCGCTTTTGTGCTGATGGGGCAGTGCTCACTTTGGAATAGCTCTAAGAAAACACCAACAGTTTATGGCTGGTTTGTATCGTAACAAGAAAACCGAAAGGAGAAGTGGAATGAGGAAAATCCGGCAAATGGCCGTGTGACTAGCCGTGCGGCCATGCATTCCGGTTCCGGCTCCCCGGTGCGTGCGCCGGGTCGTGTGGAGTGATCGCGTGTGTGCTGTGCTTGAGTGTACTATAGTAGCTGTGCTGCCGAAAGTGTGCATTTGTGTGTGTGTGTGTTTTTATCACAATCCGTAAATAATTCGGCACGACAGATTCCGTATCTCAACGACCGCCGTGCACGCATTGTCAGCACGGCGTTCTCTAACATACAGCGCAGTCGCCGATAAATGATCTCGCTCCTTCGTTCCTTAGCCTGCTCGCCGTCATCAAGCCCATACGTCCTTTCGTCGGTCCTCTCAGCACATCGTAGAAGCCTGGCTATGGCCGCTAAGGTAGGGATTCCGGCAAAATTTTGAACAAACAATTCACGGTCGTCCTTACGCAGCACATTGCAAGCAAAGGCATGTAGAGTCGGTGCTCGGGTTGTAAATTTGCAAACCGCGGAGCACTCACGGTCGAATTCCATGCTCTCATCTTCGCGGAGAAATAATGGACATGTGAGGGCTGATGTTCTGATCCACGCATGGTGGCTCAGTCATTTGACTAAAGGTGATACTGATACTAGAGGTCAACCGCTCGTCAAAAATGTACCGATTCACGCATGTTATCGGTGCCGAGTGTCAGTCGCTCAACTTGGTACGATTCTTTAGCTGAAATGTCTTTCGCAGCATGCATTCAAACCCATTTATTGCTGGTAGTTGTCTAGTTTGGCGTTCACAGGTTGCACAATCGCGGCTATGAAAGCCTTACCTTGGGTAATCGCTATCGTGCACTTCTCTGGTGATGGCTGTTCTTTTCTTTTTTCCTTTAGCTTCTCGCGTAACCAAACGATCGAGCCTCTCATTGTTCGCGCAGTGCAATAGTCACAGTTATACGCGTTCCGATACGTTCTCGTCCTGAAGCCATTGCGCTTGAAGAACACGCACCGTTTTTTATTGCGACGTGTACGGGCCGCTAGCAAAGTGCAGCGAGATCAGGCGTACGAGATGAGATAATGCATAAAAGAACGAAAACCGGGATCTGGGCGCGTCCTGACGCGTCGTTGAGGCGTAAAGGAGTACGGTTCAAGGCACTGCAAATGGGCCACATATCCGCGAATCACGCGCGCACGCGGCTGTGACTATTCGACACTTCGGAAGAATGCGAGGTTGAGATATCCCTATCGTGCAAATGAATACGCTTTCACGGTCTGCGCAAAATTGTTAGGGTATCGGGGAATTACTCTGTTCGTACGAAAGTATTCTCAGGCGCAGCGGGGCACTTACACGAGCAGTAAAAATTCCATCCGCTGACAGAGCGCAGGATGTCCGGATGAGAAATGCGGTTAGCAAAGTTGGTGTTGTTAGCATCGCCTCGTCTTCCGGCAGGTGACAGCGAAATCGATCTGCAGGACTTTAACGTAGAGCTGCCATTTGAGCCCGTGTCGAAACAGATGCATGCACGACACCACCACGTGATCGGCGTCTGTGTGGCGTTGAAAACAAGCGAACACACACACCAGCAAGCAAACGTGTTACCAGAGAGCGCCAGCACACGCTATGATCTGTGAAAAAAAGCGCGGAGCTGAGAATGCCCACCTCTGCTGGAAACATGTGGTCCCTTTATCTCGAGCCAAAAATCTCTTTATGGCTTGCTTGGGCACCGGTCATAAAAGAGGGTCTTGCCAATTGATACATTGGAGATAACGCCAGCTAGGAAGGCACACGGTGTACTTGAGAGCCATTTAGAGTCTGGACCTGCATGCTTTGGTTTCTGTCAACTGAAATAATGAAAAAAGAAAAACTATCAAGGTCTTTGCATTGCTTCACAAAAATATATGACCATTTACAATACTGTTCTATCAACACCACAGCTCCAACGTTTTGCAGCATTACTTCACACAACTGTACCTAAATACTTAGTTTCTCGTAACTTATTGTTATGGATTATGCATGCAGTCATTTAATATGTTCAACTGCATTTGCGCAACCCATGTGAGTCTTAGAAACCAACAGAATTCAAGTAGTCGAGGCAGTTCAGAAATAATGCTACATTAATATTTCTGCTAGTAGTTCACTGTTTGATTAGTGAGATTTGAGCTCCTTAATTAGCAGTGTTACACATGTTCCAGTGGGTGTTAGTTTGATAATTTGTATTAGTAAGGCATGTAATATTGATAATAACTAATGGAAACTAGTGCCTAAGAAAGTGCAGAGTACGTTATTTGCAGTACTTATGATAGCAATTTGAACAGAATAACGTTCGAATTCAGTTTATTCCTTGCCAGATATGAGCTGTGTTTTTGTCCACTTCACATTCTTCACATTAATATGGTAATATCTATAAATAGCGTCCCCTATACTTTTCTTTGCATTATTATCTGTCAGTTCTAACTGACATTGCGTCTACCAAGAAAATGAGTCCTTTGATTTCCTCTTCTTTCCTTTAATGTATGTAATTATCATATAGAACCATGTTAAAATTTTTTCTTCCCATTTCATTTCAGTATTATTTAATGTACCCCATCATTTTCCCTTGGCCAGCTGCATTCCTATCACTGTAAGCTGTGCAAATTTTGAATATACCTCTTGACAGCCTGGCATTCATTAATTAAACTTTTTCTCGCTAGTTTTTTTATTTTGAGCATGTGCAACTGTGTTACAAGTCAACTTGAACTGCTCTGGATTTCTAGTCAGTTTAATATTCTATTATTGCATACACTTATCTGTGATAGCTTGTCATTTTCAATCGAGAGCCCTTTTTGTTTTTCTCACACTCCCTTCTAGCTCCAGATTGACTCCAGATTTGGACCTTTTCCTGCGTTTGTACATGCTTTCTGCTGCTAAGAAAGATGCAGGGACTGTTTCTGCTCGCCTAGCGAACAAATTGTGCCTAACACCCTCATTGTTGAGTCCAGAGGGCCGTGTATCTGAGGACTGCAGAAAGAGTACACAATGAGGCTATGAACTTGAGTAAAAGGCTGAGTTCAGGCTTTAATGGCAAACATAACTTGCACAAGGAGAGAACAAAAGCGACAGTAGAGCGTTCTTTGGCTCGGCTGTGCATTCACCAATTGGCTAGTACATAAGCTATCTGTGCATCGAAGGGGAACAGCACCTATAATATAGAAGCGGCAGTGTTCGATTGCAGCTGCTAGTCTAGAATGAGGTCAATGGGCTTCCCGCCCACTTCCTGTCAGTTGACGCAACTTACACGGTGTTTTTTTTTTTGTGTTTTTTGCGGGTAAAATGGTTTCATAACGCGCACGCACATGTCACTTTGGAGGCTTTCACGATGGAGGTAAGGTGGGCACAGGTTCCAGCAGGGTGTATGTACGTGTTTTGAATCTGCTTGTCAATTACTAGGATTCAATTATTAATGAATATTGTGTAGGAGTCCAATTTCATGGGATGATTTTATTATTATTGAGTCAGTGAATGTAGATACTCTGTGTATGGGCACGAATCTTTATACGTGCCAAATTTATGTCATGTAGACAATGCACAACATCTTGCACAAGTTCTGTTGCAAGGGGCATAGCATTAAATGAGAAGAATGTGGCTATGTGGCCCTGCAAGTATGTATGACTGATATTCTATTTTAAATACACAAAGGAATCTCATTATCCTGTTTATGTAATGAGTGCAGGAAATAAGTAGTCATAATTCAGTGAAAGAAAGGAATGTTGAAAGACTGCAGACAATGAGAACGAAAACTATAGCTATCTTATGGAGTGGGCTGCTGCAGTACAAGGGTAACTGTTAATTGTGAAGTGCTATTTCATCCCTCCATACAGTTTAAAATGCTTAGCTGGAAAAGTGAAAGCACTAGATGACACAGATAGTTTGAACTTTACATGCCTCATTTTGTTTACACTGGCTGGCTAATTTTGGCTGATACCAAAAATCGCAATACCACAAAGCCCCCTCTGCGGTGAAAGATAATTGGACAAGATTTCAGGGTAGGGCTTTTGCTTGGTTGCAGACCAAAATTCAAGATGGCAGCGGAACAGCCTCTTGGAAGCATGCACAACCGTGCTTCTAATTTAACGCTTTATTGAATATGTATGCACTTATCTATTCTTTTTAACCGCAGAAAATCCTCATGTATAATTTAATGTGTTGTGACAAGGGCGGAAAAACTGCCTTCATATGTTCTGACAACTTGTGACTACTGAGAATTCAACACCTAAGCAGCACATTATGAGAGTACTAAGAAATCGTGCACATATCTGAAAACTCTCGTATGGAACTTGAGTATCTAGGACATCACTGCTGCATATTCCAATGGGGAGAACAGGTTGAAAGAAATGTAGAAGGGGAGCTGGCTTTGTTATTGCCACATATTTCAAGTCTATTGAAAAGGGGAACGGGCACTTTTTTGGGTAGGGCCACGTATTCCACAGTGTGCTTTCTTGAATAGATCATGTGTTTACTATAGCCTATGTCTGAAAATGTGCTTAAGAGCACTGTACTTGTGTTTTCCTGTGCTCCCATGTATAGAGTGATGTCCTTGCAGAGGCAAGCAGTCCTTCTTGGTGTGTACCAGGACAAGGATAAGGACAATGAAGGGGACTTTGTTCTCACTCCTAGCGCCAAGCAGTTTGCGGCCAACAGCAAGCTGACTGACCTCCTCGAATTGTGAGTTTTGGCATGAGCTTGGGGTTGACTGCTACTAACATGTGACACTAATATATCCGTCATGCTATGCTGCCAACTCTCCCGGATTTCTCTGGGAAGCTTCCAGATTTGGACCTTTTCCTGCGTTTGTACGATTGGCTAGAAAATCTCTCGGGAATCAAAATTTCTGAGCATGGTCTGACCACAGTGACAAAAATTTAATGCAGCCCAATCCAAGTTTTAGCTTAGTGATATCTGTGTGTTGATATAAATGTGCAGTAGAATCGTGGCAATACAAAACCAGAACTCCCCTGCTGAATCTTACTGTGTCCAATGGGCCGAAGTACGGGTAGTTTGAACACTTTGCCGTGCGGGGGGGGGGGGGGGGGGGGGTAGCATTGGCATCGAAACTTTTGAGGGACAGTCGAGAGCAGCGTGCTAGAAGCTTTGCATGTATGTGTGGGGCCAGCCCACACAGATTGAAAATGGGATCATCGTTTGCCGCAACTGCCACATTTGAAACCACTGTCGTCGTCGGCACTATAATTGACAGCAACTACGAGCTCTGAAGTTACGCAGCTAACGCAGCGGTAAAATAAATCCAATAAAGTTGTAAAAAGGCATGAAGCCTTTTGGCATTTGTGTCAATTTTCGCTTACGACTATAATGGAGCAGACTAGGGCACATTGTTTTTCAGTTTTCCTTAAGCAAACCTTTGACACACGCTTTTGTGGATGCCAGCTGCACAGTTTCGTATTGGCCCATTAACCTGTGTCCCAAGATGACATATGGGAGTTTTTTAGTGTTTTCTGCATATATCATGGTTTGAAAACAGATATTGCTAGTTCTTTTTCATGGTACTTGAGATATGTATTACCAAAATTCTACTGTAGTTGGGAAAAGCCCTACATGCATTCTTTAGTTTGGCCACTCTCAAGCAATGCAATATAATTGCATGGGAAGTAAAAAGAGCGCAAAAATGACCTGGCTACTATTGCTATACAAGATAGCAATGCCAATGTCTACACTTATAGGGCTTTTGGGATCCTCCCCATTCTTTGCCTCCATATATTAGTTTTTTTTTTTTTTTTTGTGGGTGTAGAAAAAAGGGTGGATTGGACCGAGGTAAATTGATGTGCCTGCCCCCCTCCCCCTCTTCCCGTTTTGGAATTCTCCTGGATTCAGATTCCTTGAACTCGGCAGGTATTATGCAGCCTTTTGCCTTTGCTTTGTTTTTTCTGTTATATGTACAGAAATAAATCATATGTCAAATCTAAACATCTTAAGCCAGCTATTAGCAAATATAAATTTGGCTATATATGTTGCTAGTAAGAGAGCCTCTACCCCTTAAGCAATTTTAGTGATGCTGAGAAATAAGGTTTTCCTGTTATAAGTCCTCAGGCACTACTGAAGCAGGCAACATGTGCATCTGACATTATGAAATTTACAAAAGCCCGGGCACATTATCTTGGTGATGCGGCACCTCTGAGTGTCATTATTCTTGGAGGCCATTTCAAACAAGCTCCTTCAATGGAAGGCTTTGCTTGAAAACATTTCTTTCATATTGGACCATATTCGGCCCGAAAATCTTTGCGCCATCTCTGCAAATTGATGTAAAATCAGCACATGTCTAGGGCTCTGTGTCTGCTTTGCTCTTGTACATTTTTTGCATCGCTTTTCCGCGGTTTATGAAACTGTTCTTCATAGAAAGTATTCGAGAATCCATGCATTTCAGGCAGTGTATTGATGTGAGTGATGCAAACCTTGTCTCCGGTTCTGAAAATTGGAGCAGTGAATGGTCACGTGTGCAGGGCTTCCTCGCCTGTAGCTTTCTGCGATTTGCATCGAAAGGTCAAAAGCAGTGTACATGCTTGACAAGGGAAAAACATTGATGGCAGACATACTAATAGGGAACAAAGTATATTTGAAGTGCGTCAGGGTAGATCAAAATTAAACCTATCTGGCACAGGTCACTACAGTAGTGTAATGACTGTAAAATAGGAAAATTCTTTTCTGTTCTACCTCAGCCCTTCTTTATCTTTCATAAGCAATACTACATGTTATTGATTTTGCATGACTGATTTGTGATTTTTCATGTTGACTGTTCTCGTGGATGTGGCACCGATTGATTAAGTTACATTGCGGTCTATTAGTGCCCTGGTTTTATTCAATTTTTTACACTCTCAAGTTTCTTTTCGCATCACAGAGGTACTTTAAAAATGTACACTTAGAGGACTTTTGGTCAATGGAAATCTCATGAATGGTATTCCTGCTTAGGTGGAACAAGTGTTTCCCACAATATTGGTTTCGTGTCTCTCAGCAAACAAAACTATTGTTAAACAAAGTATATTCTCCTGGTCCCTTCAGGTTCTGTTTAACCAGGGTTGTTGATAATACGTGATCACAGCAGTGGTCATGAAATGAATGACAGTGCATTGATTTTGTGTTGTTAATACTATTTTAATGATTCACATTTGCACAATATCTGTATGTAGTTTTTGAACTCTGCATTGCTTGATTTACAGGACCAAAGGTTCTTTCAAGAAGGGTGAAACAAGAATTTTCTATGGCTTGGACGAGGTGAGGTTTATTATTATTTTCATTACAGCATATTTTTTCGCTTTAGTTCTCGCAGATCTCAGTCGTGCATTACAACTGGGCCGACACATTTCTCTAAATTTATTGAGATTTCTTGGCTTTTCTGTTCTGCTGTGGTTATTGGGCATGGTTTAGGAATTTGAACACCGTGGTCTTATCCACAGAAATGTAGACCTTTGTGGCCGTAGTTGCATAATGCTCATACTGCATTTTGACACTTTAATGAGATAAGAATGTTTAAAATCTTCATTGTAGGTGTAGGTTTATGTTGGAGTGGCATTGATTGTTCTTTCGCGAAAGTGGTTATACCTTTGTGGTTTCTTTAGGATTTGCTTAAGTGATATCACCGTGTTCTGAAACATTCACTTTGATCTGCTGTGCTGTTTGGACAAAACACTAATGTTGGTTTCATTTGTAATTGTACTTGTTTCAACTACGTGAACTTTAAACACAAAGTCGCCTATTTACATATTAGACAGCTTAATCTGCTCGCCACCTCTCTATTGCCTCCAAAAGTAACTGCGAAGAGTCCTCAGTCGAGTCTTATACATCTCACAGGTTCTCGCCGTCATAATCATAGTTCCGCTACAAATCTTCACTGCTTTATTGAACTTGCAGTCTTGCCAACTTGTTTCTGGTACTATTTGCCAGGATATATCTGCTGTGGTCGTGTAGCAGTTATAATGTTCGGCTGGTGACCCGAAGGTCGCTCGTTTCATCCCGCCTGCAGCAGTTGCATTTTGATGGAGGTGTAATGCTAGAGGCCTGTGCGCAGTGCAATGTCAGTGCATGTCGAAGAACTCCAGATGGTCAAAATTTTCGGAGCCCTCCACTACGGCGTCCCTCATAAGCATATCTTAGTTTTGGGACGTAAAACCCCAGCAATTGTTTGCCAGTACAAACAAACGAGCCGAGGGAGTGCCGAGGCATAAATTTTTTAGGCTTCATGTCACTACTTTTTCAATAGATGTGGCATTGTTTCATGAGCAGCAATGGACTCCCTATCACATGAGCACTTCTGGAAATCAAGAGCACTTATTAGGGTTGCTATCGTTAAGACGGACGGACTCGGAAAGATGCTGACTCATTAAAAGGTTTATGCTTGGTTACAGGAACATATGCTGTTTTTTTTTCTTTGTAGAACAGCAAAAGTTTATTTAAAGCATTCATTTTCGTCACTGAGAGAGGAAACTTGTGTTGGTCACAGCAGACTGTGGTGCTTCCTTCTGCAGGAAAGCAAAACGGGCTGTTTAGTCTGTCGGATGACAGAAGGTTTTCTATAGTGCGGTACATTAAAAAAAAGAACAATTATCTATACATACTGTCAACTCCAGAGGGATTGTAATGGGTGAACAAATTAAGACAGCAATTTAGTACAGTCAAAATAAAAAATGAATAAAGCAATAAATAACGTCTGTTTTAATAAGTAACGTCGGCTAAACGAAAATCTGTTTAGCCGAACTGCTGCCTAAATGGAACAAATGCTTCTGACAAGATTGATTTGGTTCTTGCATTGTGTGCCTCTGTTCATCTCTCAGTAAACGGAACTCCTGATAAATGGAACACATTTTACTGGTCTCTTCAGGTTCCGTTTAATGAGAGTCTACTGTAAGTGATGTTTTTTATGGCTCTAGGTATGCTAGTTTCGGGCACCTAAAATTGATTTTCTGTTGTTTGCGCACTTGCGCCTATGAGTTAGAGCCCTATACGTAAAGCATCACGTTCCTGTTTTATTTAGTACCGACTGAGGGCTGAGCTTCAACGACTTCATCTGTGGAACAATTCAGTTGAGGGGGGTTGCTCAAACGTGGTTTTCTATGTGTTGAGACTTATTGGCAATAGTTTTGTCACTTAGGTGCCTATTACTTTGTGATAATTAAAGGGACATGGAATACCATCACTAAAGCTTTCGAAGTATCTTCTCTTTGGCTGTGCAAATTCATTCCTAATAATTTGTTTTGTGAACAAGGGGCTGTTCTTAGTAAGGTGAGTTCTTCCCCACCTCGGTACACTGTACTTATTGACAACTTTACATAGCAGTGGATGGAAGAGTTTAGAGACAAACGCAAGCTCTCAAAATAGTCCCACAATCGCATGTACGTTTGTTCAAGCTATTGAACAGAAGGAGTAAAATCTGGTATTCGGCAGCACTTCTATTGGTATACTAAGGCATAAAATGCACCACTCAGCACTAAATCAGTATTTTTCTTATGCTGTGTTCCTGTACATTTTGGAAAATGCAAAATCATTTCAATGTTGCTGGTTAGGCTAACTGTAAATGTTGAGTAAAGCACTATCAATATACGCAAGAACAACTGGCATCATCACAAAAGTGTAGAAATTTCGCTTTGTAGCTTTTTGTTCTCAGGCTCACAGAGTGGAGTGCATTAATATTGTAACTGAAGTAACTTCAAAACTTCTTGAAGCTGCCTTATGTGCCACTCTGTTCGCTGGTATAATTAGTAACACTTTGTGTGCGCTTTACTAATGTTGTACACAGCTCATCAAATTGTGGAATTGACTGTGCAGAAGTACCCGATCACCTCTGTCGTGCACCTGGGTCCTCGGCAAGCCGAGGTCCGGGAGCTTGAGGAGTGCGACGAAGCTGCAGAGAGCGTTCGAATTGCTGTTGCGGGTAAGCCTTCAATACCTGCCAATTGACGTTTTGCCATATATCGTATGTTATGAACGGTATGCATTAATATGGCATTAAGTATCAACTAACTGCAAATCAAAGGCTGCATGGCAGTGCACCTGCCTATTGATGTTTTGCCACATATATGGTATGGGCTGTATGCGTTAATGTGGCATTAAGTATCAACGAACTGCAAATCATAGGCTGCATGGCAATGCACCTATGCATGTGGCTGAGTGACTGCAGATTTTATCGACCATACACTCATGACCTTATCTGTTGGACGCTTCAGTGATAGCACCATTGCTAAGGCTTTATAAGCAAGTGGAAGGATAGCATGACCAGAGGACTGCTGAAAAACTACTTTTGAAAGTGCACGTGTGTCAGTTAGCCACACAAACGCTTCAGACAACGTCGTAGTTGCCTTCAAGATGAGCTTACGGTATAGCAGTTTGCTTACGTTCCTGTCACACTTGCCCCGTTCAACCATGCATTGAAATGTTTGTTGGGTTTGTTTAACTTTATTAGATGTCATTTTGTTTTTTATACACTCCTGCCAGCTCTCAGACCTTTGCTTCAAGTGAACCACTTCACATCATTCTTCACTAAACCCCTTAATTCATATTTCAGTGAACAGCAAAAAAATTTGCAATTGAATGCATATTAAGTCACGGAATGTGTCGAGCAGGGAATTCTCAATGCTTCTAGAACAGTGCAAAAATAGTCGTGGTGTAAAACATCTTAAATCGAGATGCAATTTGAAAAAAAAAAAAGTGACAATATTTTGTAGCATTGGGCAAATTTTTGCTGTATATACAGTCGAACACCTTTATAAGAGACAAGTGGGTATAAGAGACACCAGTGAGCCTATAGTAAAATAAGGGTTGATCAGAAAATGCATACGAGGTACCTTGCTTATAAGAGACATCTTATATAAGAGACAAGAATTGCCCGAAGCATGCCTCTTATAAAGAAGTTCAGCTGTTTAGGATTTTATGCTAATTTCAAATATGTAATTACAGTATAACCACGTTACAACGAATCTGCTTATGCCGCACCTTTGGATACTACATACCAATTAGCATCATTATGCCAGCCTACCTATTTGTTCCATTGACTGAGCTTCGTTTACTATGGGTTCTGGTACAACTGACAGTCTGATATAATTGACTAAAATGTGAGGCCATAAAGTGGTCAGGACTCCCTTACAGCGTACTTTTCTACCACGGACTTTCCAAACTTAATAACTTTTGATTTCAAACATCACTTGGCATACTTTTAGGATGGGAGTAGCGCTGCACATATCGGCGTACCGATTTAAGAACGAAGGCCGCCGATCTCGGGTGTGTTAATAGTTAATTAGGCCAAGCTATGGCAATGAAAAATCAACGTGCAGCTTGCTTGCTTTGCATGTTGGGCACTGATGTGAAACTGCTGGCTGCTGCCACCCCTGTTTCGAGCGACCGGTGCGTGACGAGCTTGGTGGTAATCCGCTACTGATGCACAAGATGCGCATTTGCAGTTTTAAGGAGCCTGTGGCTGATGTGATTCGTTGCTTGCGAAGAAGCACATTACGACTTCTTCATTTTTGCACACCCACTGGTGCCACGGTCTTGCCCACCAAGTTTGGGGCGGAGTTAAGCCTAGCCACAATTGCAGAAAGCACAGCTGCGAGGGGCATGGCTGGGGGGCCCGAGGTTTCTAAGTACGACATGCTCGATCGCCAGTACAAGGATTTCTCCCATGGTGGTCTTCGTCACAAGGTCTGAAGCGCTGATGAGCAGAACCTTCCCCCTGTTGTGAAATGAGAGTTAGGGTATCCCATGCCGCCTGTACAATTATTGCAGCTCGGGTATCACTGTGTCGCATTCTGTTCATTGCTGTTACAACTTAGGATAGCGTAGTCTGGAGAGGTGCCATGCCCCTCTCATGGGAGGACGAGTAAAGCAGGCGGAGCTAGTAATAGGAACATTTACTGTATTTACTCGCGTAATGAACCCACCCCCTACCTTGGTCCTTGAGAAAAAAAATTAATGTATCTGTTCATTCTATTTCGAGGTGGAAGGCAGTGCCATTGACGATCGGAAAAACGTAAAATCAAGCCATTATATAACAAAACAACACCACAATAAAGGTGAAAACATAGTTTCACAACCATGCTAAACAGTTGCGAGCAGCGTTAATCAAAATTTAAAAGTCGTGCCTTTTTCAGCAGAGTGCCATCTGTCGGATTCAGGAGAAACCTCTTTCCTTATAACACCACACAAGCACAGCGACACAAAAACAAAGCAAAAACAAAGCGCATGGCCTTTGACACGGCAGGCGCACGGCGTAGAAACACACCACGGGCCAGTTATCTTGGAGGCTATCCTAAAGGCCACTGCACGCACGGTGCCGCCAGCGCGTCTCACGCGACATTTGTGCACTGCCAATAAATCTGCGTTTTTATTGTTGAGTTTATCGTAGAGAACTTAGTTGGACACTTGCTGCGCAGGGCACCTTCAGCTGGTACGCTAAGTACATGGCTGGTTTTAAACTTGGTTGAGCATGCGTCCAGTATGGGAACTGAGCGCCTGGACGACAACACTTCGGCGTCGATCCGTGTGCATTCGTTAGTGGAGAAAACAAAAGCTACCAAAAATATCCGTCGCGCATTTCACAGACCAACGCAAACAGAACCGTCAAGCGAAGTTTTCACTGTTATAACTCTTGTGATTTTTTTTCTTCCGGATAATGTACCCTCCCCCCAAATCGGTGTCAACTTTTCTAAAAAGAAAAGGTGGGTTCATTGCGCGAGTAAATATGGCATTTACAAGTACTAGTTACGTGATCATACTACATGAATCAAAGAAGCACCTGTGAGCATCTCTGCGCAGGCGTTTTATGCCCTGGTCTTCCCAAGATTTCCTGCATGGAAAAACAATTGAGGCCAGGACAGTCAAATGAGATCATCATCTTAATCTCTGCCCTCGAAAAGGGAATGTCAAACACCGCCTCCTTCCCCACCTATGAAAGAGGAAATAGGCATGCTCAGTTCGTTGCATGGCGAAGGAAAAATACACACAATACACGACACAACTAGCATAGTGCGATGAGGAGTCGCCGCGCAGAGATTACTCATCGTGGAGGCATCGCTGCTGGGCAGGCCACAGTGTGCGAGATATGAAGACGGGAAGACCCCACGGAATGTGAAGGTGCACAGACTGAAAAAGCCCTTGTGGGGCAATTCGTCGGTTGCACCTGTCCAAGGGGTTTTTCACGAGGCGAACCGACGACCCTGAAGAATTCACCATGCGGCTGCTGTATTGACGCTGCTTCAGAATGTTACTCTCGGCTGCTGCGGAGGGCTTGGGCAATGACAACTTTGTGACAAAAGGAGCCGGTGATGTGGTATTGCACGATTTTCTGCATCCGTCGCCATTTGAAGGACGAAGACCCTGTGGAATTCAGGCGAGGTACAACACCACCAACGAGTCAATACTGACAGTAGGTTCAAGACACGCTTGTGCAATGTTCGTGATGAGTACGGCGCGCGACCGTAATCAATTAAACTTCCGCTTACAGCTGCCTTAACTAAGGCGTAATTGAATTATCCTACTGAATAATGTTGTACCCGTGAATACGTAACGGCTGCACTAAGTATCTCAATTTTAGACAGCTGCTACTTTGCGATGCACAGAGGCAGACGAAGCTATCCTGGAGGTGTATCTTGGACCAGCAAACCGTCCAGGTGTACTGGGGCAATGCGGCAGAAGCAGACAATCGGAGGTCTCGAAATAAAGTTCATACGGCTGTTTTTTGAACACGGAATGCTGTTTACAAAATACTTTTTAGATGAGCCCAAAACGGTGGTGCCATTGGGAAACCATAAATGAAAAAAGGAAACGCCTACTTTTTCTTTTCATTTTTACAATGATTTTCACCAGCTTGGAAGGTGCAAAAATCTTTTTACAGCACGTATATGTAGTTTTTTTATGCTTTTTTATGCTCCATTGAGAATAAATCCATATATGACTCATAATTCTCTCTGGTTATAACAGACTCATTCAGTGTTTACACTAAAGTCTGTTTTAACAGTAGTTCAGTTATACATACCAAAATCCTCTTATGTATGGAGGTCTGTTCTAATGAAGTTATACTGTGGTTATATAGTAAGTTGTGCAGGTTCCGCTTTCTGCCATGACAATGTGTAAATTGTAACTTTTTTTAGGGAAGCTTTTTCTGTCTGTAAACTTGTATGGTACTGTGGGCCATTAAAAGCTCATATAGGTCTGCATTAACCGGAGCATGCAAATAACTAAAGTGTTTATAAGACGTGTAATGAACAAGGAAGCACATAGTGTGAGAATTCTTAGAATCCTCAGCCTATACGGATTGCTTACTTTGAAATTGGAATAGTTATACAGGTAATACCAACTTTTAAAAGAGATAATTGCACCCTTCACATGTTAAGGAATATGTGGAGAAAATATCCCGATCAGGCTGTCAAAAGTAACTTTTGTAACTTCATTTTATAACTTCGTGTCCGTGGACCAAGATGTATATTTAACTTTAATATAATTCTGTGTGATTATCTGCAGTTTTATTATACCATTGAAGCCATTTATAAGAGACACCGATGTCAAAGAAAATTTAGTATAAAGGACACCAGTTTGCCTGCGTTGAATCGGGGGTTGATAAGAGAATGCATACCTGGTGCCCTGCTTATAAGAGGCACTTCATTAAAAGGCAAGAAATGCTCTCTATTGTGTGTCTCTTATAGAAGGGCTTGACTTTGTTACAATGCTTCACCATTGCCAGAGATGTAGACTAAAGGACTGAGTTAAAGCTTCTGCTGATGGCTCTGGTCAGGTGGTTAAATCGCTCACAGTTTTTGCTAATGCATCTTTTATAGATTTGTCAACATATGACAGTTGATGAACAAATCAGAATAACATATCTTTTTTACAGTAGCTGAAGAAGCTTGGGTGCAAGAGTGAACTTAGAATGTTTTTCTTGCCTGATGTGGGAGAAATAGCATTTGAGGAGCCTGGCTTGTTGAATTGTGGGCTCTTCGAGTCGCACAGTTCCATATTTTGCAAAGATTGTGCCTTGTATGAGCACCATGTCTGGTCTTGTCATTGTCACTGTGCATCTCGTGTCAAGCTTGAGCGTCCATGGAGGCAATTGTACAGCCCGTAGTTAGTCAAATTAATGTGTGTTCGTTCACAATTCCTGTACAGATTTTGCACTGAAAGTTCCTTTTTTATTGCAATAGCAATTATATGAACACTCTCGACTAGATTTTGCTGCCGGCGTCGACGTCTCCATAATTCACCGTATATGTATATAGTATCCGAAGGCGGGTAAATATGTCGTTTGATATAAATGTGCGAATTTCTATACTTTTACAAAGGAATTTCAAGGATATAACTTACGTGTTCGATATACCCGAAAATTCGATATATGTGGGTTCGATATATCCGTGTTCGACTGTATGCATCTATATATGTGAAAACACAACAAAGAAAAGTAATCCAGAAAAAGGCTGTGGTGCGAGGTGTTAGTCACTGAGCCACGAAGGAGCACCTCCTTCAAAGCTGAAACAGCAAGCTATTTATATTTACCACTTACCGCTGGCGATGGGCGTTTGGGGGGAGCTACTATTGTATTTTCAGCAATACCAGCCCCGCCGCGGTGGTGTAGTGGCTAAGGTACTCGGCTGCTGACCCACAAGTCGCGGGTTCGATTTCCGGCTGCGGCGGCTGCATTTCCGATGGAGGCGGAAATGTTGGAGGCCCGTGTGCTCAGATTTGGGTGCACGTTAAAGAACCCCCCGTGGTCGAAATTTCCGGAGCCCTCCACTACGGCGTCTCTCATAATCAAATGGTGGTTTTGGGACGTTAAACCCCACAAATCAATCAATCAATCAAATCACTTTCAGCAATACCAACGAGATGCGCAATGAGCACGTTTTGCCAGATCGTCACGACGAGGTGACGAGTGCTCTTAACTCCCATGCGTAATTTGGCCAGCGAAGAGGTGGCGCTCTCGCGTGCGCTCACTTATCTCGAGGTGGGGACAATCGTTTGCCTTGGGTTCTCACCAGAACGATTCTCTTGCAGTTACCGGGTGCACAATGGTCTTTGCACTCTTGCACAGTCTCCGTTTGCAAAAAGGGTGCGTTTTTCAGACACAGCAAAGTAACGACTGAGACGTTTATTTGCGTTCATCTGTACTTGTGAGTACGTTTCGTGCGTCATTTGTTCATGAGAAATGCGGGGCACGTTTCGATCTGCTTGCCATCCTGAGCGTGACCTTCCAGTCGGTTACTATCGCGTTTATTGATCCGTCTTTGCCACGAAGCTTGACTTTTTTTGCCATATAAAAACAAGCTCATAGCACTTGTTTTGTCAGTGAATTTCTGTTGAAGGTGCTTACAATCTTTTTGTGACTAATTAAACCTCACTGGCTTTTTTACTCTACTAGCAACAAGTTGTTACAGCTGTCATTTGTTATGTTTTACAGCTGGTGTGCGAAGCCTGCGCAGCGTTGGGGCCACAGCTATTGACGTGGACCCCTGCGCCAATGCTGAAGGTGAGAAATGAAGAGCAGTTCAAGGCAATAAGATAGGTTACAATAGGAGGTACTTGAGGATAATGTTGCAGCACTGTTTGTTGCCTGGGTGTAATACTAGGGCCACAGCTATTGACGTGGACCCCTGCGCCAATGCTGAAGGTGAGAAATGAAGAGCAGTTCAAGGCAATAAGATAGGTTACAATAGGAGGTACTTGAGGATAATGTTGCAGCACTGTTTGTTGCCTGGGTGTAATACTAGAGCTGACCCTCATGAGAACTTGATAACCTAAGAAAGACGTAATGGGAATCTACCTGCCTGATAAAATGCTTGTAAATTGAAGGAATGATTGCATCACACAAATGAAATTAGGTTTCGTTGTGGTAATGAGCAAATTAATGCTACTCGATCAAAGGCTTGAGGCCTTGAAGTTCTTGCTGAAATTTGTGAACATTTGTAAGATATAAAAATGCATGTGGCTAGTTTACAAAACTGTAACTCTCTGTAAAAAGCACACATCACAGTTCTGTGAACTGCATATTTTTGATCATCAGGATTGGTAAACCATATTACAGCCCATGTCAATTTGCTGGAGTCTTTGTGAGAGCCTCTCAGGAGTACGCGTTATTGAAAACTTACACATACATCCGAGGAATGTACAATGCATCAATTGGGGGTGCTGTAACATCAGGTTCGATTGGCAGACATTCAATATACAGTCGAACCCCGCTAAAACGAAACTGATGAGGCACGGGAAAAATTTTGTTGAAGCGAAAATTTTGTTGTAGTGAAATCGAAAAAATATAGCTCATTTAGCGAAACAAAGGAGCATTTATTCTCAAAATTTAGAAAGTCTCCGCTGCTTCCTATTCTTTCTTAGCAGTGTCGCGACGCTATTCTCGCCTATGCAGAACAAGGCCATGGTGAAAACCACACTGAAAGAAGGCCTACAGCCGCTTTCCTGAACTAACGAAACAGCTGCATTAACACGTTAACACCAGCAGCCGTTCGCGTCAAAGTGAATCCGACAACGCCGAGATGGAGGCAGGGTATCGCCTTATTCTATGCCATTCTTATTATTCACTCGCAGCTAGCTGATTTTGTTGATAATGCGGACGAACAGCTGCTTTGATTAGTTACCATAATGCCAAGCGCAGACAAAATGATACGCGTTGGCATCGAAAAAGGCATCGTTCCACACAGCTGTGTGAAAGAAAACCATGAACTGAGCGACTGAGCTTCAGCTTCGGATTGTCCGCGACTCAAAAGGAAGCCAGTGGCAAAAGCAGGGCAGTCTCATTGCCATCGCTATCGAGCAATGGCGATGCCCATGCTTGCTGAACAACGGCGGTATATGGGTACCAACGCGTGTTTTAGACCTCGTCGACGTATCTTCAAGTTCTGAAACTGCATCGAAATGTTAAAGACTGTGTTTGCTCTATAGCAATAAATATCTGATCCTGGAATTTCATCGTGAAATTTCGATGAAGCGGGACGGTAGAAGAATAAGTGTTTCTTGTGGCGACAAAATTTATGCATTGACTCCTATGCATTGACTCCTATGCACTGCCGACGGGGAACCGTGAATTTTTTGTTGTGGTCGAAATTTGCGGAGTTGGACTGTACTCCGGTGCTCAGTTTCAGAGTTATAAACATGACAGTTCAATAGTATTCTGAAAGTTGAGCTAAATCTGCTCTCTACAGTGCTGCTGAATAAATGATCTGCTTCCTACAAATATATTCCACGTTTTTTATTTTCAATAAAACTAAATTCCAACTATAGTTTCTCATTTAGGTAAATGTTCCAGTTTATTTAAATAGAAGCTCCTGGTTTGTTTGTGCCGACGGCTGTCAATGTTTCGAGCATGCAGACCATGCACTTTATGGCACCAAGATGCGGTCATGATGCCGCATTTCTTTGCATATAACCCACACAGAATGTACAGAAAATTCTGAGGTTTTGAGTCAGTTGTGCGAGAACGAGACTAGGAAGGCGCCAGACGTTACTCGTGTTTCTTACCTTGCTGGTCTCCTTCTCACTCAGTCTACCCTATGTTAAAATGTATACCAAGAAGCATTGCTTAAGGAGCCCCGCCGCGGTGGTCTAGTGGCTAAGGTACTCGGCTGCTGACCCGCAGGTCGCGGGTTCAAATCCCGGCTGCGGCGGCTGCATTTCCTTTGGAGGCGGAAATGTCATAGGCCCGTGTGCTCAGATTTGGGTGCAGGTTAAAGAACCCCAGGTGGTCGAAATTTCCGGAGCCCTCCACTACGGCGTCTCTCATAATCATATGGTGGTTTTGGGACGTTAAACCCCACAAATCAATCAATCAATCAATCAATCAATCAGCCTTGCTTAAGGAGGGGCATGTTACTTGAGAACGCCTTTTCATTTTTTCGATCAATTTTTATCAAATATTCGGGTTTTATGTTAATTTGTCAATTTGAATTGTGCCATTATTTTTCCAGTATAGTATGTATTCTATTTTTTAAATGAAATATTTATATGGGTGTGAAAGTCTACCAAGTACAAAACATAAGTTGTTATTGTAAGCATGTATACACTTAATTTCTATTGGTCGCACGTGTTTCATGCCTATTTTCACCTAAACATGAAGTGGCACTTAATAATGTGATTCCATTAACTCTGTGTCCTTCCGTACTGTCCACCAGCTGCTGCGGAGGGCTGCACTCTGGCGTTGCACGTGTTTGAAGAGCTCAAGAAGAAGGAATCACGGAAGCTTCCCGTGGCAGTGTCACCCCTGAACGAGCAGGAGCTGGACAAGTAAGGGTCTATCATCATCACCTTTAGCCCGACTGCTACCATGGCAGGGCAAAGGCTTCTCTCACGCTCCACCAATCAATTCAGTCCTGTGCTTGCTGCTGTCACATTATACCCGCAATTATTAATCTCACTATAATGTGTTTTTGGGTTGGTTGGTTCATACTGAAGAAACATTAAGGACGGAAGCCACATAAACGAAAAAAACTATAGACTATCTCCCCAAAGAAAACCCTGATGGTATGCGAAGCAGCAGCGGTGCACACGGCGTTGACATGGTTGAAACGGGCGTTGATGCAGGCTCAGGAAAAACTGTTTGAAGTGAAACTCAGTGCAGCGTTTACTCGAGTAAATGTTTGTTTGAAACGCAAAGACGCGGGAGGTGAGACTCGTTTAAGACGCTTGCGCTCGACTTCTTTGGTTCACGTCTCGTTGGTGTTACCCGCTTGCCGTCTGTATTCTCGGATGCGATTCGTGTTCTTGATTCGCACCTCCTTGGGGTCGCTGATCTTCCACTGCTGGCGCTTGCGTTCGGCTTCCCTGGCTCACGCCTCGTTGGTGTTGATGTCATCATTCGAGAATGGGATTGGCTCGGCTAACCCTTGCAGCGCCGCCGGCGACAGCTGGGAAAGGTACGTGCGCACTAGCAGGAAGCATGCAGTGACGTCGCCCCACCTATCGGTGTGATCGTGTAACAAGCAGTGGCACGTTGTCCACATTGTTGGCGCGATGAAATTTTTGAGGTGACCAGATCGCAGCTTTTTCTCGTCGACAGAGGGTTGAAATGGTACCCACGTGAGAAGTAAGCTCGAGCGTTGCGAGCAGTGGAGAGGGAGAAGTGGGAGAGAGTTGACACATGGCAGGCAAGGCAGAGAGATGTCACCACGCACTGCTTGGAGTGCATGAGCTACTTGGCACCGCTCCAACACCTGCAGTTAGGGGAGCGGTGTGTACGAAGGGACAGCGTTACACAGGATACTCAAAGAGCTGCTTCTCATATAAAAAGAAAGGGGACAGGATAGGGCGTCCTATTTAGTACCACTTATCCTAATCTGCCCAACTAACTTTCTCTAAATTTAAATTAAGAGCAGATTATCGAGCAATGAAAAGTAAAATGATAAGTGTAATTTTAGGAGACAGGAAGGGAGCAGAGGGGATAAGGGAATGAACAGGGGTTGAGGATGTGGGCAGGGCAAGTAGTGCGAAGGATAACCGCGCGTCATTAAAGGTAGCTGACTAAATTTCAAGAGAAGACAAACGCACGAGCTATAGACAAAGGCACCTACTGTATTTACTCAAAAAATAGGTCGGGCACGAGTATATGTCGGCTTCTATCTATAGTGTTCTATAAGAGACAAAAAATTTCAATATAGGTCGACCAAAGTTTTTTTTTTTAGTTTAGAAACAGACAAATTGAAACGTAGCACACCTTTATTTACACAACTTAGCACCCTAATAGCTGCAGGGGTCGTCATATTCTTAGGTGTGCAAGATGATGTTGTTATCGGATTATTTATTTATTTATTTATTAGAATACCCTCAGGGCCCGTAGGGCATTACAGAGGGGGTGGGTACAACATATATAACACACAAGAAAAAAGACAAAATAAAGAAACAAGTATCAGATGCGCAAATCAGGAAGGCAACATAAGTCAACTAAAGATGTATAAGAATTCAAGCACATACAAGACAAAGATAGATAATGGAAACTGCGTATAGTTACAAGCATTGCTGAGAAATTGCAGTCTTGAATAACAAAGGGTCTGTTATTGATACAACGAAAGAGGGAAGGTGGTTCCAATCGGCGGCTGTTTTCGGTAAGAAGGCTGCTGAAAAGAATTTGGTGCGGCAAAACGGAATGGCAACCTTATGCTGATGATCAATGCGCAATGAGTGGTATGACGGTTGTGAAATGAGGTCTCGCTTCATTGATGGATTGTGAAAAAATATCTTATGAAAAAAATGCAGTCGCGCCAGTTTCCTCCGGACAGTTAAATTGGGTAGGTCAAGGTTAGATTTCATTTCTGATATGCTAGCAGTACGGGAATAATAAGAACAAATGAACCGAACTGAGCGGTTCTGAACAGATTCTAACGCGTTAATTAAATTTTGCTGCACGGGATCCCATATAGCGGACGCGTACTCAAGCTTTGGGCGAATTAGTGATCGGTATAATAGAATTTTGAGGGACAGCGGAGCGCGAGCATTCGCAACTTTCCAAACGACATCGTCCATGCTGCCACTGTTGCTGATTGCTGGGGCCTAAAAGGCACGATGCCGACATTTGCACGCAAACAGACTGTACTGCTGGTTTCGCCAACCCCTAAAGGTCTCATTCACACAGAACTCACGCTGCACAGCACAGTTGCTCGAGTTCTTGGTAAAAAAAGTCACAGCTTTGTCGCAAAGGTGAAGCAATAGACATGATAGCAACGAATTGGAAGGTTACACGCAGAATGGCAAGCAGATGGAAACGTGCCTCGCGCTTCTCTTTCACAAATGACACACGAAACGTGCTCACAGGTACAGTTGAACGCAAATAAGCCTCTCGGTTGTTACTTCGCTGTGTCTGAAAAGCGTGTCCTTTTCGCAAACAGAGGCTGTGCAACATTTGCAGTGACCTTTGTGCGCCCCGTAACTACAACAGAATCGTTCCAGTGCAAGCCCAACGCCAGCCAAGACGTATGATTTTCCCCGCTGGGAGATAAGGGTGTGCGACAGATCGTCCACTCCCCTCCTCTCCACGGGCCAAAGTACGCGTGAGAGATGAGAGCCGCCGCGCGCTCATTGCGTCTTCTTGCTGATAATACTAAAAACACAATAGTTTTCCCCCCCCCTCTTAGATGCCCGCCAACAGTGGTAAGTAGTAGATAGAAATAGCTTGCCGTTTTGAATGTTGAAGGAGGTACCTCTCAGTTACTCTCAGTGGTTAACGCCTCAAATTCATGACGCAGAGGTCCCACGTTCGATTCCGCATGCCGGAGTCTTTTTTCTGGATTTTTTTCTTGCTGCGTTTTCATATATATAGATACTCATACATACACAGTGCATGACGCCGACGCCGGCGGCGAAATCCAGCCGAGAGTGTCCGTATAATTGATTAAAAGTATCACTTCGCGCTTGAGGTCACCTTTGTTGTTCTGCCGACGTGGCATCGTCGCAACCGCGCACAACCAAATGGTATTTTCTGCAGCTCGGTAGGGAAAGCGGCACAGCACCTAAAGCAAATGCGAACCGTGACCTCGTCCCGCCAATCGTACAATGAAAAAAGCGTGAGGCAGCAGGGCCTCATGCGAGTAGTAAGGCTGCGCCTTGGAAGGCAGTACCAGAAGTACAGCTAGCGGTCTAGGGACTTTGGCCAATACAAAGGAAAATCGTGGGTTCCATCGCAAACACGGCGGAGTAGCTGCATTTCGCGGTGGTGGTACACGGCTATTGCACGAATAACTTTTTTCTCGATTGCTTAGGTAGTCAGAAAGGAGGAGGGGGGGGCCTTTATTTCAGATTTTATAGTATATACCGTATAATTCGGAATATAGTTCGGCGGCTGCATTTCCGATGGAGGCGGAAATGTTGTAGGCCCGTGTGCTCAGATTTGGGTGCACGTTAAAGAACCCCAGGTGGTCAAAATTTCCGGAGCCCTCTCCCCTACGGCGTCTCTCATACTCATATGGTGGTTTTACGAACGTTAAACCTTACATATCAATCGAATATAGTTCGGGGCGAAATATACCGTAATTACCCGAATCTAACGCGCACCTTTTTTCCGGTTAAGCGAGTTCATAAATCGCATGAGGGTTAGATCCGAGTACGAAAAAAAAAAAAATGAATGCGGTCATTCTATTGCCATCGACATTTCCAAAATGGCCGCCCCCTACCTGCGTCGGCATGGCGCGTCGGCCTTTTCTGCCTATGTGTTTCCCATGTGCGGCACTTCGTACGTGTGCTGAGGAGTTCGTCATCTTGTAGTGCATTAGCATCGATGGCATGGAAGGGCCGACTCCAAAAACTCGAGTGCATCACGATGCTGCTTTTAAAAGAAAAGTCGTCGCGTGTGCAGAAACAGATGGAAATCTGGCCGCATCGCGGTCGTTCGGAGTTCTCGAAACGTGCGTACGGGTCTGGCGGGAACAAAAGAAGAAGATTGTCGACAGCAAAGCTTCACGCAAAGGCTTCAATGGACCACAGCAGGGTCGCTTTCCGCAAATTGAAGAGCTGTTTGGCGAGTATGTGCTTGAGCAGCTAGCGGCAAAGCGGCCCGTGACGACAGAACTGCTCTAAGTGCGGGCTATACAATTAGCCTTAGAAAAAGGTCTAATGCGGAGCCAGTTTAATGCGAGCAGGTGTTGGCTAACTAACTTTACGAAGAGGAAAGGCTTTTCCCTCCGAAGGGGAACGGGCATATGCGAAAAGTTTTGTGGAGGAGTACGATGAAAAGCTTCACAGTTTTCAGAGGTTTGTCCTAAACTTGCGGCACAACAACGGCTACCTGCTTGGGCAAATTGGGAATGCCGATCAGACGCCTGTTTACTTCGACATGCCTGGCAGCACAACCGTCGAGAAGAAAGGGGCGAAGCAAGTTCGCGTGCTGGCATCGGTCCACGGTAAAACTACAGTGACGGCAATGCTCTGTTACACGTCAGATGGGCACAAGCTTTGCCCATACCTCATATTTAAATGGAAGACGCTCCCGAAAGGAGTCGTTTTTTCGAGTGGTGTGATCGTGCGGGCCAGCAAGAAAAATGGGTGCGTGGTGCAATCGATGTCTTACATTTTTTTTTTCTTTTTCGTCGTGGAAATCGGGTGCGCGTCACAATCGAGGGCGTGGTAGAATCGAGTAAATACGGTAAGTCACTTTATTTAGTCCTCCGAGCTGTCGGAGCTCTCCTCCAACGACGACTGCTTTTTACTAGCCGCCTCCCATAGCATGTCGTCCTCAGTGCCATCGAGAGCGTTGCTGATGCAGCACTTCCTAAATGCACGCACCACCATCTTTTCAGGCA